TCATCATCATCATCATCATCATCATCATCATCATCATCATCATCCATCATCATCATCATCATCATCATCATCATCATCATCATCATCATCATCATCATCATCATCATCATCATCATCATCATCATCATCATCATCATCATCTTCATCATCATCATCATCATCATCATCATCATAATCGTCATCATCAGCAGCAGCATCATCATCATCATCAGCATCATCATCACCATCATCATCATCATAACTTGCAACAGCTTCATCATCATCATCCTCATCCGCGTCCTCATCATCACCGTCAACATCAGCATCAGCATGAGCAACATCAGCATCAGCATCAGCATCATCATCCCCATCCCCATCACCATCATTATCATCATCAGCATCATCATCATCATCATCATCATCCTCATCAAAATCATCATCATCAGCATCAGCATCAGCATCATCATCAGCAGCAGCACCAGCATCAGCATCAGCATCAGCATCAGCATCATCATCGTCATCATCATCATCAGCATCATCATCATCATCAGCATCATCATCATAATCATCAATCATCATCATCATCAGTATCATCAGCAGCAGATGCAGCAGCATCATCATCAGCAGCATCATCAGCATCATCAGCATCATCAGGATCATCATCATCATAATGAGCATCATCATCATCATCGTCATGGTCATCGTCATCGTCAGCATCATCAACCTCAGCATCAGTATCATCATCATCACCACCATCACCATCATCGTCATCTTCATCATCAGCACCATCAGCATCAGCAGCATCATCATCAGATGCATCATCATCATCACCATCATCATCATCATCATAATCATCAGCATCAGCATCATCATCATCATCATCAGCATCATCGTCATCATCATCAGCAGCATCATCATCATAATCATCAGCAGCAGCAGCGGCAGCAGCATCATCAACATCACCCTCATCATCAGCATCATCATCAGCACCATCAGCATCAGCAACATCAGCAGCATCATTAGCATCAGCAGCGTCATCATCATCAACAGCATCACATCAGCAGCATCATCATCAGCATGATCAGCATCATCAGCATCAGCATCATCAGCATCATCATCATCATCATCATCATCATTATCATCAGCATCAGCATCAGCATCAGCATCAGCATCAGCATCAGCATCATTATCATCATCATCATCATCATCATCATCATCATCATCATCATCATCATCATCATCATCATCATCATCATCATCATCATCATCAGCATCATCATCGTCATCATCCGCATTATCCTCCTCCTCCTCCTCCTTCTCCTCCTCCTCCTCGTCCTTATCCTCCACCATGTGTTCCTCCTGTTCCTCCTCCTCCAGGTCCTCCTCTTCCTCCTCCTCCTCCTCCTCCACCTCCTCCTCCTCCTTCTGCTCCTCCTCCTCCTCCCTTCCTCCTCCTCATCTCTCCTCCTCCTCCTCCTCCTCCTCCTCCTCCTCTCCTCCCCTTCTCTCCTCCTCCCCCTCTCCTCCCTCTCCTACCTCCTCCCTCCTCCTCCTCCTTCCCTCATCCCTCCTCCTCCTCTCAGCTCCTCCTCCTCCTCCTCCTCTTCCTCCTCCTCCTCCTTCTCCTCTCCCCCGTCCTCCTCCTCCTCCTTCTCCTCCTCCTCCTCCTCCCTCCAGGTCCTCCTCCTCATCGCTGTCCACTTCCCCTCCCCCTCCTCTTCCTCCACCTCCTTCACCTCCGTTTCCTCCTCCTCCTCTGGCTCATCCTCCTCCACCAGCTCCTCCCCCTGTTGTTTCGCTGGTGTCCCCCCTCGTCGTCGTCCTACCCCTCGAATCATTAGCTCATCCTCCTGGTGTCCGTTGTCCTGCTCACCCCCGAGGCAGAGCACTGCCGCGCCAGAGGGTGGGCACACTCGTTAGCCGTCCGCCAGCTGTCCCCGGGGGATGACGAAGAGGAGGGGGGAGGGGGAGGAGGAAGGAGGGGAGGAGGATCGAGGTTCCAAAGAAAGATATGTTCCCACGTCGCCCATTAACCTCCCCTCCTCATCATGCTCCTCCTCCTCCTCCTCCCCTTCCGCCTTCTCCTCCTCCTCCTCCTCCTCCTCCTCCTCCTCGTCTTACTCCTCCTTCTCCTCCACCTCCTCCTCCGCCTCCTCGTCATCCTCCTCGTCCTCCTTCTCCTCCTCCTCCTCCTCCTCCTCCTCCTCCTCACCTCTTCTCCTTCTCCTCCTCCTCCCCTCCTCCTCCTCCTCCTCCTCATCCTAGTCCTCCTCCTCCTCCTTCCTCCCTCCTCCCTCCTCCTCCTCTCCTCCTCCTCCTCCTCCTCCTCCTCCTCCTTCTCCCTCCTCCTCCTTCTCCTCGTCCTCCTCCTCCTCCTTTTCCTCCTCCTCCTCCTCTTCCTACTCTTCCTCCTCGTCTTCCTCCTGCTAGTTCCCATCATTCTCGTCGTCCTCCTCCTCGTCCTCCTCCCTATATCCAATTCCCCCTCATCGTTCTCTCATTTGGACTCCGAACCTCTGGTTCTCGTTGTCCTGTAACCTTCTCCTCTGCACTAATGTGTGCAAAGAGCAATAGAAACACGTGCAGTCACACCATCGTGGCATGGTGGCCACAGAGGGCGGCACAACACCATTATAGGCAACATGGGTGAGCTGGCGTTGTACGGCCCCCCTGGTCGTTATGGTGATCTGCGAGCGATAGCAAGTATAACCAGGCATTGTGCGACAACACGCTCAGATCTGAGTTGAAGAAACCAGTTAAAGCGAAACGCTGTGCATCCAGGGACGCTGGACATGCTTGGGGAGGGCCACACGTATCCCCAGGACACCGCACCCCCAGTGAGGTGTCAATACGGCCACGGTTCCAACCACGGTGGGCGCCAACACGCCACCGTCGGGCGTTTTGAAATGGGCCCTGAGCCCTCCCCTCTCCACGGTACGTCTGTTTTTGGTGTACGTTTGCCCCCCCCCCCCCCTGCCACGCACGCGCGAAAGGGGAGCGTTTACGGCCGCGGCCGAGATCCCGCGTGCGGGCTCGGTTCGAGCTCCACGCCTAGCTCCTCCAGGGTGCTACAAGCAGAACTCACTGGTTTCAAAACGGAGGGAACTGATGCGGGGGGTGTGGGGGGGGGGGGGGGGGGGGCGACCGCCGATGCCCTGCAACATCTTGAGATGCCGAACAGCACCTTGCAAGACTCAACCGTGGTTCTAGCGGTTCTCCTGGCGCACACGTGTCACCCTCAGGAAAGACTGACCATTGCTTGGCGAAGGGCCGCAAAGAGACCCAACGCGAGGACGGTTACGCGGGCATGGTGCCAGCACGTCCAGCAAGCAGGAGCAGACGAGTACAACTCAAAGGGGTGGTCGCCCGCGCGTGGCATCACAGGTGGGCCTGTTTTCCTCCACCACCACCACCACCACCACCATAAGCTGGGGGGGGAGGAGGAAGAGGGCGAGGAGGAGGAAGACGAAGAGGAGGAGGAGGAGGAGGAGGAGGACGATTTGTTGCCTGCACGGCACCCAGCTGCCCTCTTACACCGCGTCGCGCGCCCCCGCTTTCGCAAGGGGCCACATGCCGCGACGACGTCCACTATTCTGCCTCTGGATGTGGCATCGGCAAGCGGTCTGTCCGCTCATAGTGGCGATGCTGTACGCCTGCAAGGAGATCGCATCGCGCTTCTTGCCCATCGCACCAGGGATGTGCAGTGGCAATGTCAATCAAGTAACTCTGAGATGTTTTGAGGGCGCTGGAAGCTTTCTTTTCCCCCAAAGTATTACAGTTCTCTTTCGAGCCACTGGGGCAGCTCTTTCAATACTGAACTGCGCGCAACAGGGCAATTTCGAGATGAGACCTGGATGCACCCCTTTGTTTCTGTCGAGGCTCGTCGGCCTGCTTGTTTCTGGCACGCCGCAGGGATCACCGTCGCCAGCCCCACACGCCGAGCCTGCGAGGCCGCGCTGGGCCCGCGCAGAACCGCGGGCAGAACGGCCCAGCCGGGGGCGCGGGCGCGGCAGGCGTGCGCTGCGCGATGGCCGTCCGCAGCTGCGGCCGGGCGGGCACCGTGCTCCGGCCCGCATCCTTCGCCGCCAGAACTGGAGAAGCGTGAGACTCGGGTTCGGGGGACTCGGGTTGGCCCGACGTGGGGCGCACAGAGACATGCTAATACTGTGTGTCCTTCTTGGAGGCGCGCGTCCGACCCGAACATATATAGTGTACCCATCTTGAAGAAGACCGTCTCTCGAGCGGTGTGGCCAGACAGCGGCCACGACGCATATACTTTAAGATTTCTCGGTGTGCGCGTCGCCCCTGGGGGGACGACGCACATGTAGTATTAAGTATGTTGGGGTGGAGCCGCACTCGGGTTCGGGGGACTCGGGTTGGCCCGACGGGGCCGGCGAGAAAATCCGGAGACCCAGTCGGAAACTCGGCGCGAGCTTCCGCTGCAAACACCGCACCAACACTGGACCGCAAAAGTTCTCGACGGGCCCCACACACAAGGCGTCGGCAAGCCCGAGCTCCGGCGAACTCGAGTCTTACGTTTTCCCTGCTCGGGCGAGGGAGGGAGGGAGGGAGGAACGGGAAGGACGGGAGGGAGGGAGGGACGGGAGGGAGAGAGGAAGGGAGGGTGGTCACGGGGGGTGACTCAAAAGGGGGGCGGAGAGAAGGGCCCCAAAGGGGCCCTCTATAGGGCTCCTCGTGGAGCCAGTGGGTGCCCAAAAGGAGCCCGAAAGGGCCCCCTCTGCAGGGCCGCTGTCTTCCAGCCAGCACCAACACAGCAGGAACGAGATCATACTAGATTTTGGTGTTGGTGGCGCTAGTTCGGTCACCTTGGAAGCCGGAGTCTGACCACCATCGCCGAGATGGGGAGCATCTTCCCTCGGTGAAGGCACACCGCTGATCCTCGTGCTGGTGCCAACCCCTAGGCATCCGGCACAAGCCGTCGGCAAACCCGAGTTCCGGCGAACTCGAGTTAGGTCGGGCGTGTCCCCCTACAGGAGGACTTTGGACTAAGAATGAACCATATGCAAAACATACCACCCACACGACCCAACATGCTACAAGCGTAGTCCCCAGACCACGCTCTGACTACTTTTGAGCATTCCCCCTGTAGAGGTGTAGAGGCACAGGCCCGACGTAAAACTCGAGTCTAGCGTTTCCCCGACCGGACAGGTCGGCGGTGGACAAACCTCCCTTTAGTAAACCTCCCCTTAATGAAAACGGCCTGGGACCGAAACCGACGGACCTGGACCCGCAAAACGACGGCCGCGACGCCCTCTCGCGAACCGAAAACGGCCAATTCCTCCATCGACGTGTCAGGGTAGGAGGTCTGTCCACCCCCGAGTCTAGCGTTCCCGACCGGAACAGGGGAGATCTGGCGGCGCTCCGGCACGGACCGCGTGCTCGCGGGGGCGCAACCGCTGCAGCCGTGCCGCCTGTCGCCGCCGGCGCCTCTGGCCGCTCCCCGGGCGGCAGTCCGGCGCCGGGCGCTGGTGGCTTCGGCCAGGAGGACGAGGAGGAGGAGGAGGAGGAGGAGGAGGAGGGCCCCTGACTCGGGCCGGAGGAAAGGGGGGGGGTACAAAATCTGCTACATGCAGCTGGTTTCGGCACCACCGCGAGGGGGCCCCTTCCTCGACACATGGTCGCCTCCCGCCGCCGGGAGGCGCCGGGAAAACCAGCTACGTGAGCTGATTCTCAAACCCGCCCTTTGCTGTCCCCCCCTTTCGCCCGGCCCGGCGGACCTTGTGGGATGAGGAGCTGAGTTAAAGAGGGCCAGGCACAATAGGAAGAAGGGGTCTGTTCTGCAGGTGTATCGAGACGAGCCGATCAGACGCACTATCCCTATTGCGAAGACGGGGACCTCAGTGAGGCTACGTCTTCATTGTGTTACTGGGGCTCGGGGCTCTTTTTTATCCTCGCTGAGACTTTACACTATTTTGCGCAGCCGCCGTGAAGGCATGCAATGTGTCTTGGTAGACGGACCGTTCGGCCGTTCGCGCCATGGCGCCGAGCTCCGCAAAATAGGGCATGCGCAAGCGCAAAGCCCTCAAGTTCGACACCGCCCTTCGGACCGCCGCTCGATTGCAAAAAGGCGAGACAAGCGGAGGCGGCCGTGTCAGCAGCCAGTGGCCCGGCGTCGCATCGGCTCCGCGCTTCGACTGTGCAAGTAGGGATGACCTGTTGCACCCCGACAGGTCCCCCCTTCCTCCATCCCCCCTCCTCTCTTCGCGTCTCCCTCTCCTTCTCCCCTCCTCCCCCAACGTCCGAGTTCATGATTGACTTGTGATGTGGGCACCAGACCTCTCGACCCCCATCCTGGGCCCCTCATGTTGGCCGATGGCCACATGGCTTTCAAAAGCCTCAAAAAAAACGTATAACTTGGAGAATTTGACCGTCACGCGTTTCTCGTGTGGCTCCAGATGTCTTGTTCCTCCTGCTGCTGCTGCTGCTACTGCTGCTGATGGTGCTGCTGCCGTTGCTCCTCCTCCTCCTCCTCCTCATCCTCCTCCTTCTCCTCCTTCTCCTCTTCTGGATACCCCTGGAGGCTGAAATAAGGCCACTCCTCATGCTGCTGTTGGTCCTCATGCTGTGCTGCTGCTTCGTTCGCTCCGTTCGCAAGCGCAGTGACTCTGCCTAGCCGCCGACAAAAAAATCTGCTGCCGCTGCTGGTCGTGCTCCTGCTCCTATGCCTGCTCCTGCTCCTCCTCCTCCTCCTCCTCTTCCTCCTCCTCCTTGTCCTCCTCCTCATCCTCCTCCTCGTCCCTCCCTCCCTCCCCTCCTGCCTTCGCTCCCTCCTGCCCCACATCTCCCTTCCCATACGGGGGACCTTTTCCGGCAGCCTGGCGGTGTTGGAGGAGAAGTTGGCGCTCTGCCTTCCCCGCGCCCGCCCTCTTGCCCCTCCTCTGGCCTGACGCTGGGCAGGGCTGAACCTAAACGGTGTTTGTCGTTTTCGTGCTGTTTTCGTTGTCCCTCGCTTTTGTCTCGAATCCGCCTTTACCGCAAAAAGAAGTCGAAACGAAAACGGCCCAAAACACCGTTTGGGTCCAGCCCTGACGCTGGGCAAGAGGGGGGAGGGAAGAAAGGAGGAGGGCCCAACGTCCCGAGCATGGGCCCCTCTCCGCCTCCTCCCGCCCCCTTCCCCTCCTCCTCCTCCCGCCTCGCGCTCCTCCTGCTCATCTTGCTGCTGCTCCTCCTTGTCCTCATCCTTCCTCCTTCCTCCTCATCCTCCTCTTTTCCCCCCGTCCCCCTGATCTTCCCGCTCCTCCTGCTCATGTTGCTGATGTTCCCCCTCGTCCTTGTCCTTGTCCTTTTCTTTCCGCCCTCCTCCTCCTCATCCAACTACAATTACTCCTCCTCCTCCTCCTCCCCCTCCCCCTTCTCTTCCTCCTCCTCCTCCTCCTCCTCCTCCTCCTCCTCCTCCTGCTCACCCCTCTGCTCATCCGTCACCTCCTCCTTCTCCATTGTACACGGCTCCCCTGTTCACGTGTCGCTGCATGCGGGACAATTCGCAACACCGCAGCCTTGACGCGCGTGCGGACTACCCCCGCCGCGCTGCGGCGCCAAAGCAAACAAGCGTCGCATCTGACGGTGGGGTTCTGTTGGGGTGTCCAGCTCCGCTATGGCACCCGTTGGCTGACACAGTGGAGGCCAGTCCACGAGAAACCTTCCACAGGAAACCCGACCCTCAGACCCCAGGACGACGCTTCGATGTCTGGTGTGGGCACGCCACGCTTGCCATGGCAAAACTATCGGGACCCAAGAAACCCAGGGCACCCTGGAGGCAAGCAAGGTGTTTCCTGGCATGGGCCCCCACTATAGAGAACAGATCAGCGCAATGCTTGCCATCGCTCGGACGTCCATCCCCTGTGCAGTTTTCGGTTTCGTGCGTGCTTCTGTCTGCTCGATGATCCAGGATGCTCCCCTCCAGGGTCCTCGCCGAGACTCAAATGCCCACGTCCGAGCGATGCCAGGGGATGGGGGAGCTGGAGGAGGAGGAGTTGCAGGGGGAGGAGGATGTCGGGGAGGAGGGGAGGATGTCCGAGAAACAGGTGCACACGTCCGAGCGATGCCAAGAATGGGAAGGGAGATGTCGCCGGCGTTGGGCGACGACGGGTGCGCGGGTCTGCGCTCTCGCCTGGCGGGCGCCTCGGCCTGCCCAGGACGGCAGGGTGGGAGCGAGGCAAAGAGAGGGGGGAGGAGGAGGGGCTACAGGGATTACAGCCTTCGCGTAGGGAACATGGAGAGAGGGGGAACAAAAAGGAAGAGGAGGGGGAGGAGGAGGAGGAGGACGACGAGGAGGAGGAGGAGGACGACGAGGAGGAGGAGGAGGAGGAGGACGAGGAGGAGGACGAGGAGGAGGGGAGCCTGGGAGGAGGAGGAGGAGGAGGAGGAGGAGGTGGAATGCCACATGTGGCGCCAGCGCGCCCCGCGCGGCCATCCCTCCCTCGGCCGCGGAAGAGAGGCCCCGGGGGGCCTCTCGGGCTGGGGAGGTCCAGAGGGAGCTGTGGCAGCTCGTCGTCGTCGTCGTCGTCGTCGTCGTCGTCGTCGTCGTCGTCTTCGTCGTCGTCGTCGTCGTCGTCGTCGTCGTCGTCGTCGTCGTCGTCGTCGTCGTCGTCGTCGTCGTCATCGTCCGTCGTCCGTCGTCCGTCGTCGTCGTCGTCGTCGTGCGTCCAGTTGGGCCCAAGGCAACCCGGTGACGTCGGAGACGCGTGTTGCCCCTGCCGCGCCTGCCTCACGCGACCGGGCGGACGGGCGGGCGCGTGTGGCGAGTAGATGAGAAAACGGCTTGTTTCCACATCGAAATCCCCCCGCGTTGCCATGTAACGGGCGGACGTGAATCCTATGTCGGTTCAGCCACCCTGTACTGCCACGTGGCGAGTACAGTAGCGCCCCAGAGAGGCCCAACAACTCCAGCCCCGAGGCGTCTGCGCAACGCGAGCCTGCATCATGTCGCCGGCAGGTCGCAAGGACAGTGGTTTCTAGCATACTATAGGATGCAATATACGTGGTGCAAGCTATGCGGAGCAAGCTGCGTGGTGCAAGCAGTGTGGTGCATGCTATGTGGTGTAAGCAACGTGGCGCAATCCACAAGGTACAACATATGTGGTGAACTCTATGGGGCCTGAGCTATGTAGTTCAACATATGCGGTGCAATATGTGTGGAGCCCAAACCACATGGTACAATATATGCCATGCAAACGGTGTGGAACCAACCTGCGCAAATAGGTGGACGGTCCGGTAAATGGTGTGCCAGCTATGTAGTGCCATCGTTATGTAGTGTATGTGGGGTGAGCTATATGGTGCAATGTTAGGCAATGCGAACCAAGGCAAAGCAACCCAATGCGATTGCAATGCAGTGCAAGACGATTGCAATGCAATGCGGCGACGAGGCGGCGTCGACGGCGACCACATAACCGCTACACCGACGGACAGGCCCAGAAAAACGGGGCGACGACGGTGACCACATAGCGTCAGCCCGACTGGCAGGGCCAGTTCCTTAGAAAAGAAATACAACCCAAAGTGCAACCACTGCTTGGGAACAAAGAAGGTTGTTTTGTTCGGAGGGTAGGCGGCAGACTTGAGCTGTCTTGCAGGGTTCCAGGGGGTCTGGGCAAGAGGCCGCTCTTTCATGGCTGGCTGGGAATGGTTCTAAAACATACGCTTTCGGAGCTCCGCGCGGATTTCTTGGATCTGCGCTGGACCACCCTCCCTGGCGCGCGGAGCGCGCCAGGGGAGCCCAACGCAGATCCATAACTGTATGCTGTTTTTTGTTCTTCGAATCCCCCCCTCTCCTTGCAGAAATCGGTACTCGTCTTGGTATGTTGCTCTTGTCGGAGAACACCGGCAGGCTGGTAAGGTCTCCGTTGAGATACCGAACCCAATGGGCGATTGGGGGTCGATGCATCCCCCCCTTGAGCCTATCCCCCCCCGTAATTAGCCTGGGTGAGCACCTCCGCGGCCCTATCATAAACGTGATTTCGACCAAAGATCGTCCAAACTTCGACGACCCCTCTTCACCGTTTTGTCCCTATTTCATTCAGATTTCGTCCAAATGTCGACCAATCCGACGAAAACTGGACGAGGCCTTCAAAACCGCAGGGAATTTGGAGACCCGCCCCCTAGCGTTGCCCCCTCTCGGCGGCGAGCGAGGAGAGAAGTAAGAATGTGGAGGCCCTCTCAGAGAACGGCGGGGCTTCTCACAAGCCCCCCAGCCCTCCGAGAAGTCTTTTGTGTCTTCCGGGAAGGCCAGGAAACCTCGGGGACTTCCGAACCGCGGGCTGGCCGCCGACCCCGACTAGAGTTGCCCCCACACCTTGCCATCGCTCGGACGTCCACTCCCCCTATATCTTCCGGCTTCGTGCATTAGTTCATTCGCAAAACGATCCACAAACAAAGCTAGGACGAGGACAAAACCTGGTGAGGATAGTCAAATCGAGAATCTCTGAGATCTGGCGGCTCTGGAGGATGTTTCGAGCGCCGCGGCCTACTCAGAGCGTTCCAGAACGCTCTGAAAGCGTTCTGGAACACTCTGGGACGGATCGATCCTCGTCCTAGCCCCATCCGAAGATGCTCCCCGATGGTCATCGCCAAAGAAAAAACACACGTGGGGAGACCCCAAATCACCGATACCGCTACTCCCCAGACCTCTCCTGGGGTGCGTTCTGACCAGGATTTCGAGGCGAATCCAGCGGTGGCGACGAGGGCGCCCTGAGGTGGCCCCCAGAGACGAAAAACGGAGGGGAGGGTAGAGGTATGGTCCCTCTTCCTCCCCGCACACGCGCGAGCGTTGCCCCCCGCACCCCCCCCCAGAGCTCCGATGTCGTGATTTTTTCAATGCGGGGTCCCCGCGAGTCTCGACCCATTCCCCGGGACCGGTTCTTCATCCTGAGTCGTTTTTGGACGGTCCTGGGGCCCGGCGAGGGCCCCCACAGGGGGCCGACGCTTGCGAACAACCTCCGTCTTGATGTTTGTCCATGCGTTGGATCTCTGGGCCTTCCTCCCCCGCAACACGCGCGGGCGCTGTGAGGGCAATATTTATATCCATATCCAGTGCGTCTTGGACTTTCTTGGAAGGGGCGTCGCAAGGCCGAGGCGCACTGGATATGGATAAAAATTGAGCCTTTGGGAGGCAGATTCTAATCCATATCCAGTGCGCCTCATGTTTCTTGGGAAGAGAGTCCGAAACTCGAAGACGCACTCACTGGATGTGGATAAAGACATTGCCCGCACGCTGCCCCCCGCAGCCCCCTCCTCGCAGCGGCGCCCGCGTCGCGCACCCCGGCGCCGCCGGGCTCCGCCTCGTAGCTCCCGGGGCCCGGGCCGCACGGCCTCCACGTGCGGGGCAGGTGCGACGAGCCTGCGCCGCGCCGCCGCCCGGGAGGAGGACGAGGAGGAGGAGGAGGAGGAGGAGGAGGAGGAGGAGGAGGAGGAGGAGGAGGAGGAGGAGGGGAAGAGGAGGAGAGGAGGGAGGAGGAGGAGGAGGAGGAGGCGGAGGAGGAGGGCGGAGGAGGAGGAGGGAGGAGGAGGGAGGAGGAGGAGGAGGAGGAGGAGGAGGGGGAAGGAGGAGGAGGAGGAGGAGGAGGAGGAGGAGAGGAGGAGGAGGAGGAGGAGGAGAGGAGGAGGGGGAGGGAAGGAGGAGGAGGAGGAGGAGGAGGAGGAGGCTGCGCCGACCCGCGCCGCCAGCGATCCGCCGCCGACGATGCGTCGCTGCCGAGCGCCGCCGCCGCCGCCTGCCGCCTGCCGGGGCGCCCTCGCCGGCGCGGCGGGGCTCCCCAGAGATCCAACACATTGAAAAAATCAAGACGGAGGTGTTTCGCTAGTTTCGGCCCCCAGGGGCCCAGGGGCCCTCGCCGGGACTCGGGACCGTCAAAAAACGACTCGGGATGAAAAGGTCGAGACTTCCGGGGACCACGCATGGAAAAAATCACGACATCAGATCTCTGGCTCCCCTTCGCTTGGGGATCCCAAAACCGTGTGGTGACAGACCGTGCGGCGACATCGGAACCCCGAGAGACCTCACCGCACAGTCCGTCACCGCACGGTCTTGGGACCCTGGAGGCCCCTGTCGCCCAAGACGTCCTGAAGGGACTCAAGTTCCAAAACCGTGCAGCGGTCGAATCCCCACCGACTCACCACACTGTGCGGCCACCACTCCGTTTGGGAGCCCCCGACTCGCATTCCTCGCCACAGCGAGCCTTGGGACAGCTTAGGTGGGTCGTCGTCGTCGTCGTTCGACATTCGGTGACCTGCCCGGACATCCGAAGGGCCTCGCGAGGTCACCAACCCCAGTGACCTGCCGGGGCCTCCCACGGGCATCGTCGTCGGCGTCGGCGTCGTCGTCGTCGTCTTCGCCGCCGCCGTCGTCGTCGTCGTCGTCGTCGTCGCCGACGCCGTCGCCGCCGCCGCCGCCGCCGCCTCGCGCGCGTCGTCGTCGTCGGTGCGTCGTCGTCGTCGTCGTCGTCGTCGTCGTCGTCGTCGCCGTCGTCGCCGTCGTCGCCGCCGTCGCCGCCGCCGCCGCCTCGCGCGCGGGCGTGCGCGCCCGCGCCCGCAGCACGGGGGGCGGCGAGGCGGGGCACCGGCTCTCGGGAGGCCCCCGGCACGCCGAGGGGACGCGAGGGCGAGGGCGAGGAGGGCGAGGAGGGCGAGGAGGGGGGAGGGCGAGGAGGAGGAGGAGGAGGAGGAGGAGGAGGAGGAGGAGGAGGAGGAGGAGGAGGAGGGGGGAGGGCGAGGAGGGCGAGGCCCCGAGGGGACGCGGGTCCTGGGCCCGGCGCCTCCTCCACGGGGCCCGGCTTCTCGACCCGCATCGTTTTTGTTGGGAGAGGGGGCCCTGGAAGATGTCGAACGCGACGAAGAGTTCCAGGACCCTCCTCCTCCCTCTCCTCCTCCTCTTCCACGGGACCAGGCTTCTCGTCCCGAATCGTGGTTGGGGAGGGGTCCTCGAAGATGTCGAACGCGACGAGGAAATCCAGGACCCTCCTCCTCCTTCTCCTCCTCCTCTTCCACGGGACCAGCTTCTCGTGCCGAATCGTTGTTGGGGAGGGGTCCTCGAAGACGTCGAACGCGACGAGGAAATCCAGGACCCCTCTCCCTCAGGATCATACGATCCTCGGCGGCTTCAGGCGGCCTGTCGGCAGTCTTCCGCTGATCCTCCACGACTCTCGGCGGTCTTCGGTGTCCTTGCTCGAAGGCCCTCGGGACGGCCCAGAGGGGTCTTCAGTAGGAGGAGGCGGCAGGGGATACCGGGGCCTGGGAGACATGGACAGGGCGAGGATGAGAAGCTTGCTGGCTTATCTTGACTCGATGCCGATTCTAGCACTTAAACAGTAATCATATCGTTATGCTGTGGTGTAAAAATGGGGGACGAGGGACGTCGCCATACTAGAGACCATGAAAGATACCAGACAAGCTGTGCAAGGAGGAAGGCAGATACGTATGGAAGTCGGGAGACTTGGGCACCCAGAGGGCCTCTAGAAGCTAATGGGGGCCCAAGGGAAAAAAAAACTCCCCCTCTTGATCCTGTTCCTCCCCCCTGGTGCGCGGCAGCGGAGGCGAAGGCAAACGAGAGGGAGAAGGGACAACGAGGGGGGATGTGGAGAGAGGAGGAGAGGATGACAACGTGGGACCTCCTCCTCCTCCTCCTCCTCCTCCTCCTCCTCCTCCTCCTCCTCCTCCTACTCGTCGTCGTCCAAGTCCTCATCCTCCTCCTCCTCCTCCTCCTCCTCCTCCTCCTCCTCCTCCTCCTCCTCCTCCTCCTGCTGCTCCTCCGCCGTCCCCCCCCCCCAGAGAACCTGTCTGGAAGCTCGCGGAGCCCACGGTGGCGAAGTCCCGGCCGCGCGTCGCCGACGCGTGCGACGCGACGGCGTCGTACTCCCCAGGCCCCGGCACCTCTCGTTGGGGCTGCGGCGGGGGCGGCCAGGGCGCGCTCCGCGGGGCCACGACGCGCTGCCGAGGTCGGAGACGGGCCGAGGAGGGGGAAGGGAGGGGGGAGGATCTTGCCGTCGCTCGGACGTCCACTCCCTGTGCATGTTTCGGTGTCGTGCGTGTTTTTGAGTGCTCGCTGATCCAGGATGCTCCTCCAGGGCTCTCGCCGAGCAAAAAAATGCGCACGTCCGAGCGATGCCAGGGGATGGGGGAGCCGGAGGAGGAGGAGGAGTTGCAGAGGGGAGGAGGATGTCGGGGAGGTGAGGAGGAAGGGGCGCCTGCCGCTTGCGGCCGCGCCCGTGCAATTCTTCCTGGGCGGCGGCCCCCCCTGGCTTCCTCCTGCTCGCTGCTCCCTCCTGCTCGCTGCCCCGCGGCTGTCGCATGTTGACCCGAAAGAGCTGGCTAGCGACGAAGTGGGGGCGCGCGCGCACCAGCGGGGGCCGCGGCGCAAGGGAGCGATCGGCCAGGAGATATGTGGGAGCACGGCCCCGCGGTGGCGTGGCCAGCGCTCGAGCGACAGCAGCGTGCCCCATCGGAGGGAGAGGTGTGGCCTGCCTCGTGAGCCCCAGAACCGTGAGGCGACGGACCGCGCGGTGCCCTCGGAATCCCCCGACGAACCCCACGGCTCGGCCCGTCACCGCACGGCCTGGAACCTCGGGGGCCCTGGTCGCCCGAGGGGTCCTCGGAGAACGCGTCCTTCCTCGCACGGGTGGGCTGCTCTTCCTCTGCCTCCTCTCCCACCTCTTCCTCCTCCCCCTCCTCTTCCCCCCTCCCTCCCTCCCTCCTCCTCCTCCTCCTCCTCCTCCTCCTCCTCCTCCTCCTCCTCCTCCTCCTCCTCCTCCTCCTCCTCCTCCTCCTCCTCCTCCTCCTCCTCCTAGCCCGAGCCCCAAAACCTCGTCTCCCCGCTGACGCACGACCCGGCGTGGCCACCACGCTGCCTGGGGGCCCCCGCCACTGCGCGGAGGCGAGGCGCAGAGGGGCCACCACGCCGCCGAGGGACCCCCGACCTGCCGTTGGCCAAACGCCCGCTCTCCCACCTCCCCCCCGCGCGCGCGCTCTGCTGGGCCGATGCTCCACCACCGCTACGGGTAGGAGGAGGAGGAGGAGGAGGAAGAGGAGGAGGAGGAGGAGGGGAGGAGGAGGGAGGAGGAGGAGGCGGGAGGAGGAGGAGAGGAGGAGGAGGAGGAGGAGGAGGAGGAGGAGGACGAGAGGAGGCGGAGGAGAAAGAGAAGGAGGAGGAGGAGAGGAGGAGGAGGATGGAGGAGGAGAGGAGGAGGAGGAGGAGGAGGAGGAGGAGGAGAGGAGGAGGAGGGGAGGAGGAGGAGAGGAGGAGGAGGAGGAGGAGGGAGGAGGAGGCGGAGGAGGAGGAGAGGAGGAGGAGGAGGAGGAGGAGGAGGAGGAGGAGGAGGAGGAGGAGGAGGAGGAGGAGGAAGAAGAGAAGGACCTCCCCATCCTCCCTTCCCCCCCCCCGCCCTATCTGTGGCAGTGGTGGTGGAACATTGGCCCACCACGCCCGCGGCGTGCGCGCGCGCGCGAGCGCACCTCGGGCTTGCGGACGCCCGGCCGCCACCCCCGCGGCAACGAGCCGAAGGGCAGCAGCCTGGCCTCGACCACCTCGGCGGCCACCTGCGGGGAGGAGACCCGTGGCGCCACCGCCCGCCACCGCCTCGCGCCGCGGCGCCCGCCCACCGCCGCCGCCGCTGGGGGGGGGGGGGGGGGGGCAAACTCAGGGCCCTCGGGGGGGTGGGCAGGGACAGGAACCGCCATCAGCGCCCCTCTGACGGGGACTCCACTCTGGCGGGTACTTTGGCCCGTGACCCGGCGTACCCTACCCTCCCCGATGTGGGCAACGCTGCAATGCCAGAGAGAGAGGCCGCCCTGACAGGGCAACCTTCGGCAACTTTCCACAGTACCCGTTGATGGAAACTTGTTACGAGGAGCAGGAAGAGGAGGAGGAGGAATGGGAGAAGGAGGAGGAGGAGAAAGAGAAGGAGGAGGAGGCGGAGGAGGAGGAGGAGGAGGAGGTTGAGGAGGAGGAGGCCTCCGAAACCACCGTCGAGTCGGGAAGCGGGACCAAATCGGAACGCGCACCGGACCGGGCCGCTCCGGCACCGGACTAACAACCGACGCCGCCGCCGCCGCTCGGGGGGGGCCGACCTCGGGGCCCTCGGGGGGGAAGGGGTGGGGGGCCGGAAGAGCGACCGTCGAGCCGGGAAGCCGGGTCGGATCGTGCAGCGAGCATCGGATACAGTCGGGGCGTTGACCTAAGGAACCCTAAATAAGGAACGAGGCCCCTTTTTGTCCATCAGTTAAGGTTCGATTTCCGATCGAAAGCATAAGGAAAACCTGAGGCAAGCTGTGAAACACTTAAGGAAAGCGGAGCCCCTCCCCAGCCAAAAGGGTTCTTCTTCAGGGCCCCGACTGTAGGGCCGCATCGACACTGGATCGGAGCCGAACCGGGGCGGCTGCGCCAGGATGCGCCGGCGGCGCCATGCGAGCAGTCGGGCCGCACCGCGTCGCCCGAGCCTATAGGGCCGCGCCGCATCGCCCGAGCATCGAGCATCGCCAACGAAATAGCCACACGTGGGGAGACCCAAAAGTACCGATACCGGTAGTCTCCGGACCTCTCCTGAAGTGCGTTCTGACCAAGATTTCGAAGCGAATCCAGCGGTGGCGACGAGGGCCTCCCAGGAGGCCCAAGGAGGGGAACAAGAGGGAAGTGTATAGCGGTATAGGCACCATTCGTCATCTGAGGTTCGTCGTCGTGTCCTGGTCGTCGTCCTGGTGCCGCCGCCGCCGCCGCCGGCGTCGACGTGGCGGTATGGGTACCTCTTTTAAGCATGGGGGAAACGGGTCCTGAGGGAAACGGGTCCTGGACCCTGGTGCCTTCCCCCACGGACGAGATCTCCATCCCGAGTCGTTCTCTGACGGTCCTAGGGCCCGTGGAGGGGCGCGAGAGCCCGAAAACGGCGAACAACCTCAACGCCAGCAGTTTCCCTCAGGACACGCTTCCCCCATGGCGATTATCCTTCTCCGATCGGGGATCTTCTGACCCAGGTCAATCCAGACCCGGGTCAGTCGGGCCTTGCAAAATTCTGCAAGATCCTAATTGCCCCCAAGCCTGGGTCAGCGCGAAGGACCCTGCAAGCCCCTGCAGGGTCCGGCACACAAGCCCGGATCAGTGCGCCGCCCGGCCCTGCAGGATCCTGCAAGCTCGGGCGCTCTGGCTGACCCCCGTTTGCAGTGACCCCCGTCTCACGGGTCCAGCCGGCCCGCCGCTCGGGCGTCTCGGGTCGGGCGAAAGGGGGGGATGGCAAAGGGGGGGTCTGAGAACCAGCTCGCGTAGCTGATCTTCCCAGCTCCTCCCGGCGCCGGAGGCGGCTGTGCATCGAGGAATGGGCCCCATCGGTGGGGCCGAAACCAGCTGCATGCAGCAGATTTCGTACCCCCCCCTTTCCCAACCCCCCCTTTCGTCCGGCCCGAAACTCCCTGCCCTCTCACGGAGACCGGCACTCATCCCACACCTCCCCTCCTCCTCCTCCTCCTCCTCCTCCTCCCTCCTCCTCGTCTCCTCCTCCCTCGTCCTCCCTCCTCGTCCTCGTCCTCCTCCTCCTCCTCGTCCTCCTCCTCCTCCTCCTCCTGGATCCCTCCTCCCCCTGTCGCCCAGCTCCGAGAGTCCAGCCGGCCCGCCGCTCGGGCGTGGGCGCCGAGGGCCCGCGGAGCCCCTGCGGCGGGCGAGGGCCCCCGCGCCACCCCGCCGCAGCCGCTCGGGGGGGGGAGGGGGCTTCCGCGCGGGGGGCCCCTCCGCTCGGGCCCCGCGTGGGCCCCGCCGCTCGGCGACCCGCGCTGCCGCGCTGCCGTGCGCCTCGCTCGGCGCTCCGCGGCTCCCGGGGGGCGAGGCAGGACGAGCCCGCATCGGATCGGGGGATCCTCCTCCTCGCCCTCGTCCCTCCCTTCTCTCCTCCTCCTCCTCCTCTCCTCTCCTCTCCTCCTCCTCCTCCTCCTCCTCCTCTCCTCCTTTTATTCCTCCTTCTCCTCCTCCTCCTCCTCCTCCTCCTCCTCGCCCTCCTCCTCTTCTTCCTCCTGCGTCCTCTTCCTCACCCAATGAGGGTGATGAAGGTCCCACCCCCCGGCGCGGACCCTACGGACCGCAGCTCGCCGTAGTCAGTCTTCCACACCCAAAGCGCGCGCTGCAATTTGGTTTTGTCGGTGACCGGCTCCGGGTTAGTGAACTTGTCGTTCAGGGCGGACACGTACGACGCTCTGGATTCCACGACGGCCCCAACAAGAGCCGCCAGCATCCATATGCCGTCGGCGTTGTCGTCGTTACAAGAAGGGCAAAACTTCTCATCCGGAAGGCCGCAAAGCTCGAAGGCTGACGCCTTGCTTGCTTTGGTATAGCCCGGGATGTCGTGCACCAGTGGCGTGTCCACGTCCAGGTCACTGAGGACCAGTTGTGCCGCATCAGCAAAGCCTGCACTCTGCAGGCCGCACCCGCTGGCGAGCTTGGTGTTGACCCACGTGCGCCACGACTTGACCGACGGAAGGGTCTGGGGACTCTTCGGCAGGTCGCGCCGCGGCTGGCTGGAGCTGCTGCCGCCCCCGCCGCCGCCAGACTGCATGGCAGTAATGGTGGTGGTGGTGGTGGTGGTGGTGGTGGTGGTGGTGGTGGTGGTGGTGGTGGTGGTGGTGGTGTTTGGTGGTGGTGGTGGTGGTCGTGGTGGTGGTGGTGGTGGTGGTGGTACTAGTGGTGGCGGTGGTGGTGGTACTAGTGGTGGCGGTGGTGGTGGTGGTCGTGGTGGTGGTGGTGGTGGTGGTGGTGGTGCCTCCTCCTCCTCCTCCACCTCCTCCTCCTCCTCCTCCTCCTCCTCCTCCTCCTCCTCCTCCTCCTCCTCCTCGTCCTCGTCGTCGTCGCGATCGTCCTCGTCGTCGTCACCGCCGCAGCGCCGCAGCGTCGCCGCGCCGCCGCGCCGCCGCTCCCCGAAGGCCCCCGGGGGCCTCGCCCAGCGCGGCCAGGGGCCCGGCCCCCGCGGGGGCGGCGGGGCGCCCGGGCGCCGCCGCGGGGCGGCCCTCGGGCGGGCGCCTCGGCGAATAGGCGCCTGTGGGGCGTCGTCGTCGTCGTCGTCGACGTCGTTTCGTCGTCGTCGTCGTTTCGTCGTCGTCGTCGTCGTCGGCGTCGTCGTCGTCGTCGTCGCCGCGGGCGTCGTCGGCGTCGTCGACTTCGGCGGCGGCCTCGTCGTTGTCGTCGTCGGCGGCGTCGTCGTCATTGCCGCTAGATGGCGACATCCAAACCCTGCCTCCACAAACCATCGACTCTCCTGAACCCATGGGAGATGAGGACAGGGTTCGGATACCGCCACGCGCTCGATGAGTTCCGAACCCTACTCGGGGATGGACAGAACCCCTTTGGCAAAACGTTGTTCAGCGAAAACGACCTCGGGCCGAACCTGGCGGGCTTGCGCCTGGAAAATGACGACCGCTGCGCCTTCTCGAGAACCGAAGACGGACAATTCACACATCGACGTGTCAGGGTGGGGGTTCTGTCCACCCCCGACCCTACCCTTAGGTCCGGCGTGTCCCCCTGCAGGCGGATGTTGGACGAAACATAAAACACACCCCCAACAAATGCCCCCAGAATGCTCCAAACATGGTCATAAAATCGTCCCCGCACTATGTTTGGACCACTCTCGAAGACTCCCCCCGTGGAGCTTGCCATCGCTCGGACGTCCACTCCCTGCGCATTGCTCGGTTTCGCGCGTGCTTTTGTCTGCTCGATGATCCAGGATGCTCCTCCAGGGTACACCCTGCGAAATGCTTAAGAAATCATGGGTTAAGAAATTCATAGTCTCAGAAATTGAATAAAACCCAGAACTTCTATCAAAATCTTCGGATTTACATTGAAAAATTAAGAATCATCGAGACTCTGGCCGAAAACTTAGGTTTTCTTAAGCATCGCCTAGGGTGTACTCGCCGAAAAAAAATGCACACCTCCGAGCGATGCCAGGTGGAGGGGCCCGCCCGACTAGGCCCCGCCCCCGCCGCCCACCGCGCTGCCCGCCATCGTGGATCGGCGAGGGCCTTTGGCTCGGCCCTCGGCGCGCCGAGGCGTGGGCACCGCACCGCCTGGGAAGCTCGGGCCCTGCTCGGCAGGATCGGGCCTTTGTGAAGGGAAACTGGGACACACAAATAAATACACACAAATGAAAAGATTCCCCATATTTTCCTATATTTTCTGGGTTTTTGTCTTCCCCACCACTTCCCATATTTTCCCATATTTTCCTGGGGATCGACGATTAATTGTGTCTGTGTGTTTTTTCCCCTCCTGACTTTGGCTGGCCCGAGTGCCGGCATCTCTCAGGAGGGAGGGAGAACACAGGCACAATGCATCGTCGATCCCCGAGAAGAAGGAGCAGTCGGGGCCCTGAAGAAGAAGAACCCTTTTCGTTGGGGAGGGGCTCCGCGTTCCTTCCGTGTGTCACGGCTTGCCTCAGGCTTCCTTTTTATGTTTTCGACAGGAAATCGAAGGTGAACTTCTGGAAAAAAGGGGCCTCGTTCCTTATTTATCGTTCCTTAGGTCAAAGCCCCGACTGTATGGAAAAAGATGGGAAGTGGGGGGGAAGACAAAAGCCCAGACAATATGGAAAAATATGGGGACTCCTGTTATTGGTGTCTATTTGTTTGTGTGTCCCAGGGCCCCTCACAAGTGACGGCGCACGGCGCGCGGGGGCCCACTGGAAGGGGGCCCGTGCTGAGTGCCGCTGCTCTGCACGAGGCGTCGGGGAGAGAGATCGCGGCGGGTGGGCGCCCGCGGGGCGTCGCCGCCGTGCTTTGGCGGCGCGCAGAAGGGGGTGGAGGGAGGGGGGAAGGCTTCTTAGAGGGAGGCTGCTTCTTAGAAGGCGGCGGCCTTGCATCTATACATCAGGACCGCGCCTTCTAAGAAGCAGGGGTGCTTCTATGAAGCCTTCCCCCCTCCCCCTACCCCCCTCTGCGCGTGGCCGAGTGATGGCAGGATCAGGCCATCTCGGGCCAGGAAGCCAGATCGGGCCGGATCGGACATCGGCTCGGGCCTCGTCGGTACGGCGTCGGCCTCGAATCGGCTCGGGCGGGCCAGGCTGCGCACAGCACCGCCATGCAGAAGCATCGGGCCGCATCGTGTGGGGAGGAATGACGGGATCGAACTGGATTGGGCTGGCCAAAAGCGTCGTCGAATCGGATCGATCGGATCGACATTGACCCTGGGTTGCGGTGGTCGTGGTCTTCGCCGTATTCGTCGTCCCCGTCGCCTTGACACGTACATGTTGACGACGACGCAACCGCCGTCGCCCAACGAAGAAAAACCTCGACGGTGAGATGTTGTCGGGTGGGTCCTGCCTGACCGTTTTGGCTCCTGGTTGCGGGCCAACGATAGGGGGGACTGGCATAGGGGGGGGGTGCATCGACTTGGAATCGGGGATACATCGCCGATAGATCGGCCATAGGCCCCCGATAGTGAATCCGCACCTTCCTGTGCAGACTGGGGCCATCGGCTCCCCATCGGCGATCAATGGGCGATTGAGAAACGATGCATCCCCCCCTATGCATATCCTCCCCTCTCGCTGCCCCCGACTGGCACGTGCTGGCACCATCGGTAGGAGGTTCCGAAGATGTGCTTGCCGATTCGCGCGCGCGGGGCGGCCGCTCGGGTGTTTCCAACGCGGGCAGTACTTCTATCCATATCCAGAGCGTCGTGGACTTTTTGGGAAGAGGTGCCGCAACGCCGAGGCGCACTGGATATGGATAAAATCAAGCCTCTTGGGGCCAGATGTTTATCCATATCCAGTGCGTCTACGGTTTCTGGGAAGAGAGCCCAAGAATCCAAGACGCACTGGATGTGGATATAACTACTGCCCGCATCCAAAAGGAAAGCTTCCCCGGCGGCTATCCCACAAGGTCGGGCAACACATGCTGTTTTTTCTACGGGGCTCGACCATCGGGACCCCCAAGAGGAAGAGGCCCAGGGGCACACACAAAAGATAGGCACAGATCCCAGGATCCCCATATAGTTTCGCATGTTATCTTGATTGTTCTGGGGATCGACAATTCATTATGTCTTTGTGTTTATTTCCCTCCTGACAATAGACCCCCAGGATCGCTCCAAGATGCATCCAGGAGTGCCCAATAGCAGCCCAAACGTGTGGATCAACCGGGGGCGGGCCCCTTTAGAAAAAGGGCCCCGAACCAGCCCGAAGATGTCCCCAAGACGATCCAAGACGGCGCCACGAGACCCCGATAAGCCCAAAGCAATCATACACCACAAAATCCTTCATCAACTTGAAATGGAACCCACCACGCGGACAAGCACGCAGCACGGCACAACAAACGCGTGCCGCACACAGAGAAAACAAATCATTACGCGCCGCCCGACGGGCAATCCAGAGCAATACCGGTACATCCGCCTTCAAACAACACACATCTGCAGAGCTTGGCGACCCGAGTGGCTTTGAGAGAAGCGCATCAACTTGTGTGTAAGGCTTCTACAGATTGCTTATAGAACGGACTGCGTGGCCCGTTGCCAGCCCACTTCACCTACAACCTCCAGCAAGGTCTCCCGCATGGTCGCCTGTATCATTCTTTCATGTGGTATTCCGCGTTGACTCCCGCATGAAATATATTTATATATATATATATGTATATATTGCCACACTGTAAGATGGTCTCTGGTTTGCACCCCCGTCTGTACAATACCGCCACATGCTAGTATTACGGTTCAAGTATGCAGATTCTAATGTCACGCCGCCAACGCAGGTTCTTCACATCATTTAGGCGTTCTCGCCGTTCCACGTGCACTGCGCTTGAGGTCCCCAGATGGTTCCAATGGCTCCAAGTGTGGCCCATAAAGGGCTCAAGAGGGCACCGATGATCCCCAGGAGCAGCCCAGAAACGTCACAAGAAGGCTCCTAAAGAGCTCCAAGAAGGCCCAAGAGCAGCCCAGGAGCGGGGATAAATGGGCGGCATGCCCCATGAGGACCACAGATAACCCCGATGATGTCCAAGATAACAAAGGCAATCCTCAAGAGGCCCCCAATATGCCCAGTTAGTTTAGCACTCTCGCAGTTTCGTGTTTGATGCGCGTCTGAAGTCTCCACATGGCACCAAGATCGCCCACCATGGCTCCAAGTGGAGCCGAGAAAGGGGAAACCAAAAATTACCGATACCGCTCCCCACAGGACCTCTCCTGGAGTGCGCTCTGACCGGGATTTCGAGGCGAATCCAGCGGCGGCGACGACGGAGGCCCAGGAGGCCCAGAAAAGGCGAAAACGGAGGGAAGGTAGAGGTATAGGTACCCCCCCCTCCCCCCTGAGAGAAGGGGTTCGAGAGGCCTCCGACGACTCTAAAGAGCGCCCCACAGGGCATCCAAGAGAGCGCCAAGAGCGCCGCGCAGCGGGGACGACCTGGGGCGCAGGCCACGAGAAGGGCCCCGAACTGGCACCGAGAGGGTCAAGACCCCCTTTCAAGAGGCCCCTTCAAATCAAGGTGAAGGGGACGAGCGCTCTTCCACCGTCCATGGGTGCGCGCTTGAAGTGGAACTTCACGGCGCGGGCTCTGCCTGCTGTCTGTTGTTCTTGTCGTCGTCCACCGCCCGCGGCCCTCTGAGCACGACCCGCCCGTGAGCTGCACGCGGGCCACCCTCGACCCACATGGCGTTGACGAAACACCCGCGACCCATATTGCTTTGGCAAGAAGTTCGGCGCCTGCGGCGGGCCCGTCGTCTGAGGTCCTTCCAACCTTGCAGACCGCCGACAACTCTGCCCGCCTTTCCGCAGCTGTGGAGGCCATGGTATTCACTCCCCAGATGCCCGAACCACGCAGGGGCATTGGCCCGGATGCCGCTGGCGGCGAGCAGCGCCTCGGCGCTATCCACGTCGAACAGGCAGCTACGCCCCTGCCAGGCATAATCCACGCAACGCCCTCATGAGCACCGCCCCCTTCCAGGCCGGGCGCAATGGAACGCGCGTGCGCGACCGCAGCGTCGCCAGGACGGCCGCCCGTTTCGAAGACGACCGTTGGGCGTCACCTCCGGCGTGTCGCGCCCTCGCGGCACTGGGCTGCAGGGCGAGCC